AGATCTACAAAGTGATTGGCTTGATAAAAAAGAATATCTCCACATGTGTGAGCTTTACCAATTACTTATTTGCCCTTTAATCTTTGTAGTTATCTACTCTAATATATTATTAAAAAAAACTAAGGGTCTTTTTGTAAAGCCATATTAGATACCATTGGAACAAAAACATGTGCAAATGACAAAATGGTAAAGTGGCATAACTTAGGGTTAGGGTGAGTGGTAATGGTGTGAAATCCCATCCCTTCATCCTAGTAGTTGGATGGGGATGGGTGGCTAGGTACATTAGCCTCTCATGTACCTTTGGATTAGTGAATCAAGGGTGTTGATTGAATCTAAAGTTATACCCATGTTATAAAAGCACATCATGAGATCTCAAACCCTAAGTATCTCAACTCTTAAACCATTTTGAAAAATTGTTGCTCCCCTCTTTCTTCTAAGGTTTTGTGAAAGAAAATTGAAGAGAGCGAGCTTTTAGAGTTCCATTAATTGTGATCTTGATGGTGGTCCTCATTGCTAATGCTTAAGTCCATAGTATGCATTTATCAAGGTAAATTCCATTGAATTTTCTTTTCTCATAAGATCATATCATTTGCATCTATAGTTGCTGGAGTTTTGAATTTATAAAAGTTTCATTGATCTTAGATTCCCCATTTGATCACATTTTTCATCATGCTTATTCATAGTGTGGTTCTTCATGAGTTATAGCCTATATGTATGAGAATCCATGATCATGTATAGTATCTTTTGATTACTTTGCTTCAAACCCATCAAATAATTTAGTCTTAGAGTTTTACTCCATTTTCAGGACTTTTTCATCACGTTTTTACCTATGGGGATTCATAATCTTTCCATGCAAGATTGTTTTGGTGGTTTGAGGGACCACCATGTGTAGTTTGGCCATAACTCTCTTGTTCTTTATCCGATTCGATTCAAACCTTTTAAATTCTATTTTGGATGATAATGCCAGTATTTTGAGATCTTAAGAAATGATTTTAAGGTATGTAATTTCTTTCTATTTGGATTACACTCTCTTGTGATATTGAACCACTTTTGTACAATCTGAAAGGACCAATTTAAGTCCTTATAGGGCCCGATTGCATGGCCCTGGCACAAGGGGTTCGAAACATGGCTTCCCTATTTTAATTTGACAATCTAATTCCCTGTTTAGTTGATTTTATTCTTTAGAATTTGGTTTAGAATAGTTGCATGATGTATTTAAGCTTTGGGATTTATACAATTTATGCTATGAAAATGTAATTCATAAGCTAGTCTTGCTTTATATGTAATTGCCCCAAAAGGGGTTGGTATTTGAGTTTATTTATAGGGGTTATACAAAGCTAGAAATAGTTGTAATTGTTATATAAAATGATTGTAACTTATTCACTTAACTTGATTTTTAGCAAGTGGCTTGTTGAAAGTGTCCATTTTGCCTTGTTTTTTGGATTGAAATTTTGCTCTAGTCTTTGGACCCACTAACAAGTTTAACCTAAAATATTATTGCAATGGAATTCAACTGCTATTTTTTAGTGATATTTTATAAATATCCTGAGAAATTGGTAGTTCCTACCAAGTTTTATTTTGGATCC